CTCGTGATCCCTCTGGTGGTCTGAGTGTCCATGGGCGACGTCAATTGCTTACCATCATCAGGTAGGTGATTCATCTGCTCGTTTACAGGCTTTTACCATCCGTAAATATTATAATTATAATATCTGGAGGTGATATTAACCTTTTGAGCGCCAGGGTCACAAATACGTGACAAGCGAAAACTGTCCCTGAGCGCCAACGACACAAATATGTGACAAAAACAGCGGTACATTAAAACACGAAATAAACTATTTAAACATTACTTTAATGCCTATTTATTTATATACCTGTAAAATAGAAGGTCCAAAATTTATTTATTTCCATAAAACTAATTAAATTGCATTACAAATATTGAGAAATTTTACGTTTAAAAGAAAGAAATAAACTCTGAAAAAAGAATGTCCTCACACGCCAGAGTCATAACTGCGTGACCGCTAGTGATAGTACGCATGTTGGTAATATCATTATTTCAAATCAAAGATCGATTCGAAACTTTCCTCTGGAATATATTATTTTAGGTATAATTTGGTACTAGGATAAAGCAGCATTAATTTTATAAAACCAGTCTTAAAAATCATTCAATAAGCTACATAGTCAAAAATAAAATTTGGTTGGGTCGAATTTCGATATTCACTAATCCCAACTCAGCGCATCCCTAACGCAACCCGAATTATCAGTACCCTGTACGCCATGGTCACGACTAGACGACAATATCGTGACGTCACAAGCGCGGCGACCAGAAATTAGTGAAGTGAATGAATAATATTTATGATTAATTTACTTGTGATATCGAGTTCAAGATTTATATTAGGTGACTATTATAATGAGTGGGAATTTAATGACTAATATATATATAAATATAAAATAAATAAATTATATATAATGGTTAATTGTTTTAATTTGTTACTTTTTTATGCCTGATAACACATGGCTTACTATTCGCTGGGAGCGCGATGACAGCGCCAACTAGCGGTCGGCGGACTCGGCGGACCTTGGTACGTCAAATAGTTGACTGTCATTGTTTTTACGAGGAGTAAGCAGTGAATAAAGCATGAAGGTGTAGGTAAAGATGGAGTACACAGTACACACTTGAAATACCTACTTGAATTTTTATTTCTCTTCTACTGTCTGAGGTCAGTTTGTTTCAATTTCTGTAGTACACTAGAAAAAGAGATCAGACCTCAGTTTGCCTCAGAGAATAGGAGCGAGAGTATTTGACTCGAAACTTTTATTCTAAGTGTGGGCTCCATATTTACCTATAACTTCGTGGAATAAAGTCTGCCAAAAGTTCCTTTTTTAGCCACGGTGCGCGCTGAGATCGATTTCACTGTCCCCACCAACCACTTTGCACCCAGCGAATTAGATGATCAGAATGCAGGTTGCATTGTAGATTTTATAATTTTGTTCTATTATTCAAAGATTTATTAGTATAAGACTGATTGGTAATTGTGATAATTATATATAATCGTTAATTGTTTTTAATTTGTTACTTTTTATGCCAGGTTTATAGAACTTAATATTTAAAAACATGTATACATAGTACATACTGTATAACATTAAAATTTTCTATTTTTTCATAGTTTTTATTTACCTTCTTAACCTATTTCAATCATATATTTTTAAGTACCTGTTACATTCGGAATTATAAATCTGATTTAAAAAACATGTTTCATTTATTATAAAATAATATTACTAGAACATCGATAAACGAGATATTACGTTGCCACATCCTTATTTCGGAAGCGAAGAATTATTAAAATGGCGGGCCGTCCACGCCATGGTCACAATATAAGACACAGATCAAGAATAGTGTTGTACCTACAGTTATTATATTTAAATATATTGTAGTCTCATATCTGTTACTACGGTATTATACAAGTCTGTAAATAGTGTATAACTATTACTTTAATAGGAAGAAATGTAATGTTGAATTAAATTTCAATGTTATAAGGACATTATATTTCGAAATTAAAGACGAAAATGAAAATAAAATTGATTATCGATGAAGTTTTGGAATCCCTATTTTTTTCGTAGGTATTTGCGGTGAATTTGTGGCCTGGCGTTGAGGGCAAGTTCATGCGTTTTTGCTCTGGCGTTCAAAAGGTTAAACTTTGGAGGAGTCAGCAGTTAGTTTATTGTGGCTCATAACATCACGCCTTTTTATCCCCGAAGGGGTAGGCAGAGGTGCACATTTCGGCACTTAATGCCATTGTAAAATGTAACACCCACTTTTCACTATTTATGTTATGAGCCCCATGTAATAGGGGATGGGCCTATTATCATATACCGGACACATTCCAGACTCCGTGCTACTACTGATTTTTTTTAAAAACCCAGGCATAGGTACTTTACCTTAACCGGGAATTGAACCCGAGACCGCTAGCCCAGCAGTCACACTGGCGACCACTCGGCCAACCAGGCAGTCTTAATGGTTTACATTACTACCAAAATAAGTATCTATTAAGTAATTCAAAACAATAAAATATATATAACACAAAGAATATAACAAAATTAACCATCACATAAGTGTTTGTGTAAGTATTTTCTATTTTACATTACCTATACATTTATTTTCATATTGAATTATTCATTTTTATTCGTTGCCTTTTAGCTTATTATTTCATATACTTACACTGTTTATTTACGCTCAGTATTTCAATTCACAGAAGTGCTGACTAAGGTTAATGTAATTGCTTACCTGAGTCTGTACTTATATTGGCTAGAAAATAAACATTATAAGTACACATTCTTTTATTTAGTGCTTGGATTTTCTTTAGGATTATTTTTAATTGTTATGTTTTTAGGATTACTCACGTAATTATTTGAGTGAATGCTACTTATGAATATATGCCTCTAGCATGGCTTGAAACTAGTCGAGTTCCTCGTCAAATAATTACGTGACTAAGCCTATAAACAAAACAATTAATGTAGTTTCATGAAAGTTATAACATAAACGATTGTTTTTGTTTATACCTTTTAACTGCTTAGACAAGCAGGGTTGATTTACGAAAATATATTGCAATAACGAAACACATCAGGAATTTATATTAATATCTTTACTTGCTTGCATTTCTGTCTCTTTCAAAATGAGAATTCCAGGAACATTTTTGTAGATAATAATAATAAGGCACCTACTCATAAATTCAATGTGATATTATAGTAACTGCAGCTTTAGATTCGTTTACCAAGTATTATTACCAATGTATATACCACCTTCTTGGAAGCAGTATCGTCGATATAGATACAAAACCCAGTACATCAACCTCCTTCTGTGTGTCAATTTTCTCATTTGATATTTGACTTTATATCTAAATAATAAGACTTGAAAATCTAATAAAGAAATTTGATAGAAATACGTTAATAGTAGGTTGACCTGCTCACTGTACATAAATATTTCCATCATTGATATAATAATATATTTAGTAACGTTTTTTTTTAAACCCGCATAGCCTCGTCAACCCGTTAGGCTTTCCGCGGCTCTCCTGCAGCTGTAGCCAAATGCCATTTAGCGCTTGTCTACATGTAGAATAGAAAACCAAAGTATATAGAATTGACGTAAATTTTGACACTTGTCAGTGTCATCCCCGTACAATTAGTTTTCTAACCTCTCTGCAGACAAGCGCTAAAGTGGCGTTTGGCTAAAGGCACTGGACAGCTAAGGCTGAATTTGATGAAAATTCAAACAACGTCAATCATGTATAATCTTCTTTATTTAATAATCCAAGAGAAATATAAACAGTTCTTTTGATAACCTTACTGTTGAATTTAAAGAATAAAATTTAAAAATTGTCCGTAAACTAAATAATTATATAGAAATGAACTGATTTGCTAAATAATCGTGTTTCAAAACAATTTACCTATAATAATTATTTAATTACAATTATTGAAATTCACTAACAAAGTATATTTTATTTACATTTTAGGCCAGCTAATGTAAGAAACGCTATATTCTCAAATGCTATTTCCTATTACAATTATTCGATTTTATCATTATGTTTATAGTTTCATATAAATGATAAATAATTAATATAAACTTATGTTACGTATAGAATTACATTATTCGTCATAGTTTTACAAATGCTGTCTCATTGATCTCTCCAGCGTTTAATAATTATAATAAATGTTGCATTTTTTATAAAATAGCATTCGAAAATTACATTTAAAATAATTATGCATGAAAGTAAAATTAAATTCATTTAAAAATAAAATAATGAACATTTTAATGAATGCATTAGTTTTAACTAAGATAAATTTAATCGTAGCAGTTCACATGTAATCTATATTTTAGTCTATACAGCATTATGGTCCTAATTTATACAATAATTATTGAGCTTACAACATTATTGATTTTTACATTTAAAGGTACATTTATTCGAGAATATTCCGAGCATAATTCAAAGCTTTTAATGAAAAAAGGTCCATTGTTCAAGAGACTATGTGGTTATGGTAACAGCCATGTTCAAAATCATAAAATGAAAACGGTAAATTTTCATAAAGCATCAATTTGAGCACTTCGTACGATAAATGTGTTTAAATGCTGTAGGTAGGCCGTTAACATTACTCTTGTTGCCGTGTGAGGTAATCTAGACCGGTCCTTATTTGGTTTGACGTTTTTAATTTCATAATATTATATGTTGTATATGGTGTGCTGTATGAGATATTGTCAATTGGAAATGGAAATTACTATATAAATGGTTACGAAGAAAATTAATAGTTAGATTGAACATAATAGCTTTTAAATCTTCTAGAATTTCGTCAAAATTTTGCGTTATCGTTATAAAACAATACAATACTTGTACTAAAACACAAAAATACAAAAATAACATCACAAAAATTTCCAATACACAAAAGCAAGAAAACATAGCACTGTTATTTTAAAATAAACACAATAAACATTTTCTTTTCATAAAATATATCTCAAATAAATATGTACTCAAAATATTGCGTCATAAAGGTATTGTTTCGGTTGCAGGTTTAGATAATCTCCTAAGACCAGCTGGAGTTACGTCTCGTGTGTGACATAAGGCGTGGAGATGCCGACAACTTGGCTGGAACACTGTTTCTGTGCTTGGCCGGCTTTTGGCACCAAAACCAGCTGCTCTAGATCGCCCTGTCAGCAGAACCATTGTGTTATAATCCGATAAGAAATTGTTAGAAAATATATTTGTTTCATGTTTTCGTAGAATACATGTTTTTAAATTAATGAATAAATAAATAAATAGAGATTCATTTCAAATGATTATACGTACAGTATAAATGTAAATTGAAAATATGATATTAGTTTTGTATTTGTAATCTGTTGTGTTATTTAATATTTAAAATATCACGATTTATAATAAATATTTGTTAATAATTAACACTTTCATTTCCAATTTAAACAAGTTCTATTACAACATTTGCCGTAGTTATAATATTTTTACACGTAAGTAATAAAATATTTTTGATATGATTTTTTGTTAATTCATAACTGTATTTCTAGAAAATGGTTTCGCACAGTTTATCGAACATTTTAACTCACGGTATATAAAAATAACGAGTTTTAGTTAACCGATAATTTTACTTATTTTCTATATGAAACGTATCAAAATTAGTGTCATATTAGATTTATAGTAATGAATACTTTATTATACTTACAGAGAAAAGATATCCTATAATGAGATCAGCATCCCTGGGCGTGTCGAGAGCATCCTTCTCGAGGACGTCGGTCCGAAGCCAGCGGCAGTCGACATAAGCGCGAACTGTGTTGTCATCATGAACACTGCGGATAATAAATTTGATTAATATGAGGTAGTAAGTAATTTAGGACAGACCTGCGAATTATGATGAGAGACTCAAGTCTCAGAGTCCCTGTCTCAGAATCAGAGGTCTCATAACCAACACAAGTCTGTTCTAAAACTTAGAAAATATAAATATGTTGGTATGACTTTCTAGCATGTTAAATGGTGCGATGAATGTGACTGCTAGAAGCCTTCAGATTCAAATTCAGTTCGAAGTATGGAATCTACTGGTGCCACAATGAGTTTACCAGCCATTAACAAATATACAATCATCTTTTGCAAGCTACATTCAAAGTCATAGTCAAAGCACTTATTTCAGATAAACCATAAGTTGGTATTTTTAAACGTCTACAAATAAATAAATACTATACATAATAAATACTAGTCTGTCAGTCTGCCCGTCAGTGAAGCTAGGTTCTCGTTCCAAATTATAGATTCGAATGGAAAAGAACGAGCAAAAAACGCCATTTGTTACTCTTTAAAAAAACAATGTTATACAGTCTCTCATGATACATTATCCAATATTGTACGTATATGTGAGAACAATGTAAAGACACGATTGATGCATTATACAAATCACAAGACTTATTAAAATAAGAAACAAAACGAAATTGAAAAAAATATATCTTATGGTTTAAACCATACCACCACCATGTTACGTACTGACCATCTATAAAAATAGTGTTTTATACAAGAAAAAAGAAACTCTGAATTTTATTATAAAAATCTATCCCCAAAAATCCTTCTCAATCAGACCACGTCGCGTTATCCACAATAACTTCCCTCAATACCATACTATTACAAGTTTATGTATTACCAAATAACTAATCCCAAACATTCTAGGTCTACCAATACTATAACATAAGCCCTCGAACCCTATCGCAAAACAAACCAAACAAAGTTATTCGATGCCTCTGCTCTTATCGAACTATTTCTCCTACCAAACGTTATGCCTGATAGGGTTATACCTCTCTGGAGAATTAGCCCCGCATTCAGTTCCCTATAGTGTGATTCTATCGAAATATACATGGCTATGTCAAACTACAAAAAAACCAGTATAAACTGACCGTCGAATATGGAGAATGATCGTATAAATCGAGACCATGATTAACTGGTTTATAGTAGCTTGATCTGTTGTACTACATAAACCAGTATAAAGTAGTTCGAGCCTTTTTGCTCAAACAATGTACTAGAGAATTCAGTTTGACATTAAAACTCTATATCCTCCCTTGGGGACGTTCCAAAGTTCTGGGTATTTTTTGGTAGCGATTTATTTTTGTAGTGTTTAGAATGTTTTGTGGTCTAGGACCAAGCTTGTTTTTTAAACTTCTTTCATTGTTGTTTGTGTTTTATCTATCTACAAAATAAAATTTGGTATGTCATGCCTTTGGATTCCGTATAGGCTAGACGGAGTTGCACAATGCACCACTATTTTCACCAATTATGACTTCATAAGTCCCATGTAATTGGGCACAATATCAGTCTTCATGGAATTACAGAGAAGCGATTTAAAAAAATTCAATTTGTCCAAATATTTAATAACAATGCCCCGTATTAACTAAACATCGCGGGTTACTCTCGTGAATATATGCAAAAATGGTCTACTAGTTTTGAGCCACAAAGGAGTTAACCTCCTGAGCATGCGCGGTCGCAGCGATGTCGCTCAGCCTAGTAACATTAGAGAAACTATGCTTGCTGTCGCCCACGATATCGTCCGCGTAGAATATGAATTTTATAACCAAACTAAAAGTACCCTATGTTACGCCTTAGTACATCAGCTACCTACCAATAAAAGTCTTGTAAAATCGTTGCAGCTATTCCAGAGATTATCCAGTACAAACAGACAGACGGATAAAAATAGTAAAAAATGTTATTTTGGTATATGTATCATATGTATGTATATTCATAATATTATGCATGGTAGTAAAAAGCGGTTATTTTAATATTACAAACAGACACTCCAATTTTATTTATCTGTATAGATGTCTTTCAAAAACCTTCTTTAAATCTATGTAAGCAAATTTCAAATTGAAAATGAAAATAAAATTAAACCTCGCTACAAATAATTAAAAAAAAACTATTAGAGTTTAAAATCCAACGTTCATATTTCTATTAAATATTACTTTTCTGTAGAGCTGTTCATTTTAATTCAAAATAAAAACATGTTCTGACTTAATTAAAAATGCTTATTAGAAAACCATTTTTTTATTGATTGCTTCTTTTCTGTAGCAAGATTATCATCTCGTTTTAACAGAAGATATTTGTAAGTTTGTATAGAGCAGATCAGCCAACAAATTGGGATGATGACAGGGTATAAAAATTAAAAATATAATTAGTCCGTAAGTAAGGTAATGATAAAATATTAGACACGTATCTTTTTATTTTGTCGTATAATAAAACAATTCTTAGGTAAAACGAATCAAAGTTTAGAAGTGGGGGCTTCATTTCTACGTATAAAATAGACGTGCATACATAGAAGTGACGTCACGCGATATTTCTTCAATATATCTTCGAAACTATTCGTTTCTGTAAGAAAATAAAAAATACGTGTCTAATGATTTAAAATCATCTACCAGACGGACAGTAAAATAAAAATTATGCATCTTTTATTGTAGAAGTTGTTGGAGAAGATTGTTTACAAAGTCAAAGCAATTATTCCAAATACTTAATTAGGCATCTTTAAAACGTCAAAAAATTGAATTACAACCGTCTGTCTGTTAGTGAAGCTAGGCGCTCGTTCCAAAGCGTAGGTTCGAATGGAGAAGAACGAGCAAAGAGTAATGAAACTCCATCGTTACTGTTTTAAAATCTTATTGAAAGCCTAGTCATTTCTTGTTATTTGAATGTAGTTAGTAATAATTTTAAAACAATATTCGTAACTCCAAATATTAAGCTATTACCAAGAACAATATTTATAATTGCCATTAATTTTTAAATTACAATAGACTATTGGAAGATAAACAAGACTGTCCTACGCTTTATCATCATCATCATCATCATGATCATTAGCCTAAGTCTTGGGCCACCGGGAGCAGGAATTCTATGATGTTCCCCCCTTAAAAAAAAACTTGGCTTCTTGGGCCACGCTTGACGCTTCTTGTGACTGCAATGAGCGAGAAGAATAATCATGCGGTTTGATTGGGGGTTGCTAGTCGCACCAACTTAGTCGCCCCCGTTCAACCCGCATGATTGCTTTTCCCGCTCATTGAGGACGCAAGATGCATCGCATTAACGTGGCCTGTGCCTAAAAGTGTGTTGTTTCAAAGCAGATTGCTGATTCATGATGAGTATTATATTTAATACAATTGATTTATTACTTTTATGAGTCAAAGCCAAAAGTCAAAATCATTTATTTCAATGAAACCTTATGAAGGCTTATGAACGTCGAATAAAAATTTCAAAGTGTCAATCTGTCAGAAGTTTTTTGCTCATTCCAAAGTTCAGATTCATATGGAAAAGAGTAAGCAACAAATTCCATAGGTTACTCTTTCTCAATCGGGTTTACGAAAGATTTCTTAGTATCTTCTAACTTGAACTTGTCTGGTCTGCCACGAACATTAAAGGCGTCGAGTAGTTACCGCTTAATAAAAAATACAACATGTAAATTTCGTTAATTAAAACGTCTGAAACACTGAATTCTCTTAGAGTTTTCATTTCGTTGCTACACACAAAATTAAATGAGGTTTGAGACTGTCGCTCAGTTAAACAAGGTTGTCTTAAGTTACTCTTTGTTTTTGAAAACTATGCTTTGTATGTTATCTTAAATGTGTGTTCTGAAGGACTTGTATGCGGGTTTTCTCTTATCTGCATTTGGGTAGGTGTGTGTTAAACATATTTAACAGTCCTCGTTCGCAGGCGACTTTTTATAGCGATACAGTCGCGATGCTGTCATGCGTAGCATCGATACCGACGCCAAACGGTCACTAACTGTGTGCCCTCGCCCACGGAACCAAATTCAGAGTGCCTAGCATGAATAACTATACTGAATAATATTCGTAACGTAATAGTATCGAGCGCGATCGGCGCTCTGATTGGCCGGCTCAAGTGAACCAACCAATCAAAACGCTTAACTCACTCGATACTGTTACGATACGAATGCGATAGTTATTCGCGCTTGGCCCTCTGATGCAAACGCGATCGGTCGCGATGCAGTTACGATACAAAAATACCGCAAGATGGACTCCGTTGAGGTAATATTAGTCACGTTGTCTTTAGTGCTGCTTTTATGTAAGCAGCTGAAGCGTTGGCAAAACAAACAGCGTCAATATTGGATGTTGTCCGACGCGGTCGCGTATCGATACAATCGCGATGCAGTACTACGTTAGTAGCGCGTTTGCATCGCGTTGCAAATGCGACTAACACGCCTTAGAAGCGATGATGTTGCGCATTTGCTAAACGTGCGACTGCATCGTCACTAAAAGTCGCCTGTGGGCGAGGGCATTAAGATATTTAAAAGATATAGAACAATGACTTACTGTTAAAACAAAATAATACACATAGAAACTGCAGCATTTTCTGAACAGATTTCATTATTTAATGGTAAAGAAATATAGCATATATTTATATTTATACAAAGTCTAATTCACATTAATTTTGATGAACTAACAACCCAGTAAAATTTGGTGATATATAATTGTTTTTGTTTTTATTTAAGCATGGTGAACAATGTTTTTTCGTGTTGTGGTTGCATTTACTAACAAATAAATTTCATAATATGAATTTGTCACACTCAGACCTGAAACAACAATTTCAGGATCTTTGATAGTGTAAAGTTGACTGCATCGTTGGCCGAGTGGTCGTAAGTGCCACTGCCGGACGAGGGGTTTGGGTTCGATTCCCGGGTCGGGAAAGTAGTACTGGATTTTTAAAAATAAAATTCTCAGAAGTAGCACGGAGTCTGGAATTGTGCCCGGTATATGGCAATAGTCTCATCTCCGATTACATGGGCTCAAAACATAAATACTGAAAAGTACATGTGTTACATTGTACAGTGGCATTAAGTACCGTAAAACCGGGATAAATATGATGTTATGTTGATAGTGTAAAATTTTAGGATAACCTAAAATACTGAGAAAAACTAAACAGAATACTACCTTCAAAACAAATATCAGATTTACTTAATAAGATATGAAATTCGGCTTCCTTGTATAAGAACAAGAAATAGGATTTAGGTAGAAAAACTTAGTTTGGAATCAGATGAATTTTCTTGGAAGCGAGATCCTACCGGAAAAATACAAGTGGTAGTTATTTTTGTCTATCGATGATAAACGTAATTATTATACCTAAATATTGGTGTCGTAAAATTATCTATAACAGAACATTAGTATACGTAGTGATGTGCCACCATAAGTGATGTTCACACGGCAATGCGTGAGTAATTTCACATTAACCATTTGAGCACCGTCATTATAGACACAATTAAAGAACAATAGGTTGCGGTCACCGGTGTCCTCGCGGTGTTTGACAGTTTAATGTGCATAAAAACGCGTTCGTATGTATAAACTCACGCACGCGTACGTACACGGATAAAAATATGCGTGTGCATGTGTGTATTAGCGCTGCAGCGCAACCGATAGTATTCTTACGGTGGCAGTAGATATTTGACCTTTGACCGTACGTATAATATCGATATTATTCGAATAGCAATTTCAGACTAGGCCTATTTTTTAATATTATGACTTTAAACATATGTGTTAAAACTGTAATTGGGTACTTGCCAACTAAACAAATTCAATACTTTTTTCGAACTGTCAAAAATGACAACTTTCTATGAATTTTGTACGAGATTGTGTATTGTGACGTCACGTTTTGTAGCGTCAAACAGCATGCTTATTTCTTCAATATTTGCTGGAAAAATACTAAAATTAAGTTGGATATAAAATCAATTAATGAAAGTGTGATTACTTTTTAAATATTTCATTGTATTGAACAGTCGAAATAATTTAGTTTTGATTAAGGAGCGTACCCAATTATAGAATACCCACGTAATTAGAAACCCACCTTCAAAATAGGCATTATACGGACGTTATCATCAGCCAAAAATTTGCATATTGATGGGAATAGGCCTCACAAGGAGAAGAAATGAGAAGACATTATAGTGTTTAATTTCAGCATCACCAAACATGCAAAATATCATCATCGATTGAGCAGTAGAGTTCAATGACATCACACGTAATAATGATTACATACACTCGAAAAAACATAAAGATACACGAAAATAATCAAGTCACATCATGTTTTAGCTTAAAAAGTGATCCTCAGACGTGTTTATTTCGTGCAGAAAATATCAAAATCCGTTAAGCTGCCGAATATCCCTAAGTTTATTCGTGATTGGATTACAAATATCCGAACGTATCCGAAAACTGTCTCTAATAAGTGAGCCGCAAGTTTTTGATCTCATAAGGCTGGATGAGAGATCGGATACTTCGGTAAATTAGACGAGAATGGACCACCACTATTTGCAACTTGGCCAAACACGTAAAACTTATTTATGAAGTCCGAGAAAGAAAGGATAGTAAAGGAAAAGAAATAAAACAAAATGAACTATAAGATCAAGCCTCCTTTCTTGAAAAAAAACAATATCTAACTACGAAATTATAAATCACTGCCTCGCGAGTGTGACTGCTGGGCAAGGGGTCTCGAGTTCGATTCCAGGGTGGGCCAAGAACTGTTGGGTTTTTAAAAAAAATCTCAGTGTGGCCCGGAGTCTGGAATTTGTCCGGTATATGGCAATAAGCTCACTCGCTATTATATGGGACTCGTAACATAAATAGTGAAAAGTGAGTGTAACATTCTACAGTGGCATATTGTACACCTCTGCCTACCACTTCGGGGATAAAAGGCGTGATGTTATGTTATGAACTACAAGATCAAGCATCTTTTCTTGGAAAAAAATAGTCTCTAGCTACGAAATTCTAAATTAACAATATTTTATCGACTAATATGGAACGAACCAACAGCATAATATTGAGCTCATATGCAAACTATTTCCAGTAAAAAAATATTTACAAGACAGAGAGTAGCGACTTTATATAAAACGCCAATAAAAAAATAAACTACAATTTTCTTGTATGATCCAAAAATTATTTTCCGTATATTATCATCAACAGCCTATAATTGCCCACTGTTGAGCAAAGCCTCTTCTCCCACGGAGAAGGTTTGAGCATTAATCACCACGCTTGCTCAATGCGGGTTGGCGATTTCAAACTTATAATTAGAAATTATAAGCCCAGGTTTCCTCACGATGTTTTCCTTCACCGTTTGTCAGTGGTGTCTGAATAATCTTAGAAAGTACATATAACTCGGAAAAAGTCACATTGGTTCTTGCCGTTGGTAGGTTTCGAACCCGCACCCTCATGCATGAGAAGCGGGCGTCTTAAACCTCCGGGCCACCACGACATTTTATATATTATGGGCATATGAAATTATATTGTGTTTGTAGACGCACCTACAACACATGACAAAAATACTTGTATCGGGCAACTAAAATTAAAATATATATATACATACCTGATAGCAATATGATGCCAGCGAAAGTCATACAAAGGTACAGCTAAGTATATGGAGCGTGATGACCCTGAACCAGCATGCACCAGTCTGGCTGCTCCTCTACCAGCTAGCTCCAGGGAGAGGAAGGATCCTGTGCGTCTTCGTGACCGCAAGGAGAACAGCGTCCCTTGGCCATAACCGCCGCTCTGTGGAAGAATGGGTGGGTTAGAAAATGGATTTAGATTAAAATGAGTAACTACTATGTTACATTCACGGCATTAAATGAGTTCTTAATTAATAATAGTAAAGTACATAATAAATAACATATTTGAGCCCCTAGAATGTAATTGTGTGGCTCTGTTTTCAACTTCTACAATCACTGCTAAAAATTAAGTAGAATACATGAGAATGAAATGGATTTTTTATTTATAAAAATGAAATGCGTCATTAAATATTACAAACATGTGTTCAAAGTTTTTAAATAAATGAAATATATATCTCAATAAACAAATTCGTAAAACTATTCATGAATTTTAATTAAGATGTAAATGCAAGATAATTGAAAACAACGTATCTAATGAAATGAATAAATCCAATGTTGTTGTTATTTCACGATATTAAATTAGTTGGTTGATTTAAAACAATTTGAAAGAACAATTTCCCATTTCAATTGTTTCTTTGTGGACTCGTTGGATCTTTACAGATGGATATTCTTTTGTATATTAGGGCGAAGTTACAAATGCATCACAACGACACAATCCAACAGAAAAACGGTAGATTACAATACGTACAAAATTATCGGTGAATAGAAATGTATTCTGTTCTGCTTATGGTTTTTTTTATGGCATAAGCCGGTAAACAAGCAGACGGATCACCTGATGGTAAGCAATCGGCGTGGCTCATGGCCACCTAGAACACCAGAGGCGCCACAAGTGCGTTACCGGCCTTTTGGGAACTAGGAGTTTGAGGATCGTTGGGGTTTCAGGGATTGGGGTGATTGGGGAAGGGGAGGGTAATTGGGCCTCCGGCATCCTCACTCACACGACGAAACACAACGCAAGCGTTGCTTCACGTCGGTTTTCTATGAAGCTGTGGTATTACTCCGATCGAGCCGGCTTATTCGTGCCGAAGCATGGCTCTTCCAAACTTATTATGGTTTTATTATAATGTCATATCAACATAATAAATTTATCCCATTACATGGTTATGCGACATAATTTTTGCTTTATATATACGAAACCGTGTATCGTTATTTATAATCCTTTTTCTATTTATTTATTTATCATATCATGTACACCATACAGGAGATCATATTACAGAGGACAACCCATTATAAGCATTAAGTACATAGGTACTGCATATCCCTTAAAAAAAATATTCCTGCAGACCTGCGACAGGCTTTTTTTAGTTGTAAGAGGGCTCCGTACGAGTTTATGTAACCACGTTTAGCTCTCTGATTGGTTGGTTTAAAAGAGTCTGCCAATCAGAGCGATGAACACGGTTATGTTTCGACGTCGTTTAAACGTGGAAGAAACTCGTACTAGGCCCTGTCAACTAACCTTTTGAAGGCTTACCGTCCTCCAAAATATTTTTCCTCTGAGCGCAGTATTGTAGCCTCGTCTTTACTTGATAGCCAGTAAGCAATTTATTATAAAAGTATTTGCGTTGGAGAAGAATATATACATTTTCCCAAAAGCAATACCGAATTGTTTTTCTTTACTACAAAGATTTTATTCATGACAATAAAAAATAATTACAAAAATGACGTGGCTTTAAAAATCATACATACTTCACGAATACAGGAATTTATCTATAATTAAAACTGATGACAGCGGTCCTTTGCATTCAGCAATCGTAATTACAATAATTTATGTACGGGTCAGCCTACTTAAATCTGTTAACCCTTTACAGCTGTATTTAAATTATTAATACAGTAATTCAATTCAAAACAGAAACAAATCTCGGTTACATACCTAATTGAGGAATCTCAGGTTAAAGTCATTAATGACATTTACAATCTTTGAATTGGTTATTTAAACTTGACCTATCTCGGTTACATACCTAATTGAGGAATCTCAGGTTAAAGTCATTAATGACATTTACAATTTTTGAATTAGTTATTTAAACTTCGCCTAGTTCTTGTCTGGTATTCATGGTATATGATAATAAGCTGAAGAAAATAATGTTTAAACTTGCATTTAAGGTACAATATAATAGGGTAATTTACTGGTCTGGTCTGGTACATTAATTCAAAACTTTAGACACGTATTTTTTCTTTTCTCACAAAATTAAATACTTTCGATGATTACACTAATTTGAAATATCGTGTGACGTCACAGCGTGTCACATTTTGTAACGCGTTATGACGTAACGACCTCCCACTCCTAAACTTAGCGCAATTTTATTTAAGTATTGCAACTTAATACAAGAAAAAAAATACGTGTCTAATATTTTTTCATTATCTAACTGACGGACTAATTAGATTTTTAATTTTGATACCTTGGAAACTACCCATTTATTATGGTAGAGAAAAATTCTTATTTTAACCACTCACCTCCGGCCGTAACCTCAATGAGATGAACAATGTGAATTCTCTAGGGAACGTTTTCCCAGCAGAAAACAGCTCTGATGATGCGATCCAAATGTAGGAATTCGGCCTCAGGCTGAAGGCATGTGGTCGATCTGATACAGGTCCCCACCTCGCTTGCGCTGGGTGGAAATTACGCCTAGCGCCCGGCGCCAGCGGGTTTATTGTACCTGCGAAGAATTAAATTATAATGTATGTTGACGTTATTGCTTTGCACAAATTGTTACGTTATTGTGTTGGGTTTTAATTTTAATTTTGTTTTTATTGGTTTATTGTGGGCTTAATTATATGGTTTGTGTTTGGACATGTAGTGATATTTTATGTAAGCATATCTAATTGATCTCCTATTGTCTTTTTACTTAATCTAAGTGATTTTTAACCGTTATAACCGTCTTCAGAAAATAAGGAGGTTGTTAGTTTAACCTATATTTGTATGTATGTTTGTGCCCGATTATCTCGCGATTAGCTGTACCGATTTTAAACTGTCAAACACCAAGCGGTCACCGGTGACCGCAACCTATTGTTCTTTAATTGTGTCTATAAATACGGTACTCGACGAGTTAATGCAGTTTTTGTTATAGTTAGGAGAAGATTTTGGTATATTAATAAATTTAAAAAAGGCGGTTCAAGTCAGTTTTTTACACGTCAGTTTACAAAAAAAATGATCTAACTGAATCTATTAAACTGGCCATTAACACGTTTGCCTTCAGCAGTTTTCTGTCGGCAGTCAAAGGCTTTGAAATCAAAGTTTCTGTTCCACTAACAAAGTGATTACTATCGAACAAAACAGCAAAAACATGTGCAACATAAATCTACGCCTATTTTCTAACTTTACCACCAAACATTCACTTTATATTGCTTAGTGTTCAGGCAACATGTTCAAACGCACCCGCTCAACCCGTCAATCATGACATGTACTGCGTCAAAGTCTATTAAAAATTATACTGCAACACGCTGTTTTCAAAACTAAAATCACTTTATCAAAATGTCACCTACATCCTCCATACTTGTTTGGTAACTTCTCGTCGACCTATCGATTTCATGCTGTTACGATGTCAGTTAACGAGCTAGTCTGGAAATAATTTAAAATCCAATATTCGTTTACGTTTAGATTGAGAACAGTTTTCAAGTGATGTGGAACGTTTACTAAAACGTTTGCTTTATAAAGTTGAATGAGTAGTTTGTGGAGGTTAAATAGAAATTGCTTTTTAGGTGAATGTGTGGTTTGTAGGTAAATTTGAATGCCTTGTTATGTAGTCATGATGAGATGTTAGCGAGTTTAATGCAGCAGAACGGGAATATTACACGTGTTTTGAAAAGCTCGAATTTCCCAGCAATTATGCATCTACTCCAAAACATCATGTCTATGAATAGTGTTCTGTATAAAGAGTAATTAAATATTTTCGTGTACCAATTAACATGACTATAAATTAATAAGTACGAAGATAATCCGTTTTTTTTAATTATGTCTAAAGCTATATTTCCCTAAATAGTCAATAGATATTTCAGACCAACAACAACAAGCATTATACACAAAACAATTAGCTAAATTGAACCTTAACAACATAACAAATAGACTCACCTTCACAGTCAAAAGAGTTGCAAGCCCTTCCCTGTTCCCCATACCCTTCGCAGGTGGGTTTCGAGCAGTATCTCCTCCTGGTTTGTCTCCCCACTCCACAGGTCCTACTGCAAGCCCCCCACTCTCCCCACCCTGCCCAACCTGCAATATTGATAGATGAGCTCTCCACCCTGAGTTATTGGTATAGTTTTACGTAGTTTTGTTTGCAGAGAACTTTCGTTTCGAGCCATGAAATTACATCTCTGTTAACGAATAGGAATGGAACTGATTTTATTTTTGATAGATGTTATTCTGCGTTGTATGAAGTTTTGGAGATATTTGAATTGTTAATAGAGGTGTTGGAGAAATATGTAACGTATATGTTTTGGATTTATCCGTTTCGAAAGAAAGAAATAATTTATTCATATTAAACTCTAAGGTAAAATTAGTTTGTATCAGTTACCTGTATTGGTAACGCTTTGCAGTCATTATATTTTTTTCAAACACAACACCTTTATATAAATGCACAAAGAGCAAACTGGTACATTGATAGTCTAATAACAATTTTGTTGTTAATAATACAATAGAAACCTTATGGTAATTAAAAACAAAACAACTAAATGAACTAAGTAACTAATCATAAAACAAAACCAATAAACTCTATTTATAAACATCAACAAAAAATAAACTATCGAATCATTAAAACTTCATAAACAAACCGTGGTCCATAAATTCAGCGTTTGTTATAAATTGTGATTTTCAGATCTGAAAATACAGACTCATTTCTCTTAGTTTACACTTCAAACTTTTGCAGTAAATCTCAAAGTCGGTTGGTTTATTTCTTTTATTTTACTGTGTAATTAACAGGTAAATTTTAGTACTCATTACCGGATTTTGTGTAAGTGCCCTACAGTGCCCCACCCTGTCTCTGTTCGAGATTGAGTTAGGAGCAACGGAATTACGTTATTTCGGAGGCTAACATAGTCTACGTTAATATTATGCCACAAGAATTTAGTATCGTTGCGGACAATTACATTCTTGGGTCTGAACATTCTTCTGGGAACTAGTGACGGGAATTACAAACTTGCATTATTGTCATTCTTGTTTGGCATGGAGAGGGCAACGACAATGGAACACTAGAAGTCTATATTTTGGGTCTCGTATTTATGGTATTCTCCAATTCTATTTTACAGTTTAAAGATTATTCGCATTCAAATTGATCTGTCCTAGATAGGCACAGAAAATTACGACATCGAACACTTTTTCAAAAAAAAAAATTAATACGCAGTTTTTATACACTTCTTAAATGAAAGGCTCTTGTTTATATACAATATACATATTTGACTGATTTTTTTATTGTGTTTGTTACTGTCAGGAGAAGGTTCTTATGATAGAAAAAAATCCTGAAAATCTCATGAGAACGGGAGAAAACTAAATTGCGCGTACGAAGTCGCTGGCAGAAGCTAGTTAATAATAAAAGAATATCTATGAATTTAGCCCTATAGTAAAATATGGTCTTCTTTTAATGTAATGACGACAATATTTTTGAAACTGTATTTTACGTAACCTAGCATAACAAGATAAAAAGGTATAATTCTTACCAACAGCGTTCCATATAGCAATATCAACGCCGAGGCTCCATGGCACAGCAGCAGCTGTCGCCTCCAACCACGGCCCATCTGGTGGCGTGGTCTCCAAGTCTACTGCAGGATCACTGATCCGTGCGAAGACCACCAGCTCACTCTGAGAAGGCGCCATACTCCAATTGAAGCAGTCACCCAGTTGTGGACTTATTTTTAAATTCACCTGTCTGTTGACAAAGTAAAAAAGGTTTTATTTTTTCTTAGAATAAGGATCATTCTTGAAACGTTTTGTATCAGACTAGACGCACGTGAGGACGTGCGTCTAGTACGTACGAAGCGCTTTGCATCAAGCTTTCTTATGCGTACTGCTAAGAAGTGGAATTCTTTGCCAGGGAGGGTATAACCTGGGTATCTTCAAGGCCCGAGTGAATAGGTTGCTTATGCGTCGATGTGCTCCATCGTAGACGGCATCATCGCTTACCACCAGGCGAGATAGTGGTCAAACATCGGTCCATCAAATATTCAAAAAAAAATGTGTTTATAAAACCTTGCTAAGCCGGTGTTGAGATTTTCGAGATACTTAAAATTGAATGACAGAACTAGTTTTGGTCACAAGCTGCTTGCTTATAACTAGCCCTTAGTGTGTTTAACACGCTATGCGTTGTAGTAGGTAATAATTAACAGAATAAGTAGAAAATTAGGAAGATTAAAGCTTAATATGAAAATAAATCCAAATCTTATTTCATTGGAACAATTATGTAAACAGGGAACAAATGGAATATTCCCCTTTCACTTTCAATCTATAATTCATTTAGGAAAGTTCATATTACACGACCGAAGGCGTGGCTTCGGTCGTATATAATAAAGCTAGCTAAACAAATAACCTACACGACAAACTCCCACATAATTAGGTCACACATGATATAGAATATTTTGAATTATCAAAGCAAAGTCGAAAGATTAAAGCGGTACATTTTCTTTGCGATGTAAGTTACTTTGATAATGTTGTACATAGATCGCGAAAATAATTATCCCGTATTAAATTACTTTCATAAGATACGATATAACTTGTTTTGTAGACTTTTAAATAACAATTTTAAGTAAATTATTACGTTTTCGGCTTACTCACATAATGATTTGACGAGGAACTCGACTAGTCTGTGTACCACTGTTTTTGTGTCGACCCGGGATTCGAACCCAGCACCAACGCAGCTGCCGGTGGGCGAGTCTAGCGTGCCAATAGTGTCACGCGCGCCACCGTCGCCGATACCACGAAGAGAGAAAAGTGCGCGTGAATCACGGCAGAGGACGCGTTGGGCCCGCAGACTCGAGAAGCCAGTAGCAGCGCGACAGTTGCCGCGCTGCGGGTCGCGAAATGCTGCTCATGAATATAAGCCTCTAGCATGGCTTGAAACTAGTTGAGTTCCTCGTCAAATTATTACGTGAGTAAGTCGAAAACATAATAATTTATTTAGTATGTCTCACGAAAGTTACAATACAACAATTTTGGGCTCTGAAATCGTTTGTTGTGCTTGTAAATAGGTGATTAGATTTAGAAATAAACTCCAAACTATTGTGTTGTCATCTGAAATGATAAAGATATGTATTTGGATGCCAGTGGCATACAGCGAAGGAAAAAACATCGTGAGGAAATCTATGCTGTTAATTTCTTCTAAACTTATAGTTTATCACTCCAAAATTCAATCCAATGTTGATATACAACAGATTTTAACTCGTCGAGTACCGGTTTTATAGACACAATTAAAGAACAATAGGTCGCGGTCACCGGTGACCGCTTGGTGTTTGACAGTTTAAATAACTTTCGCACACAACCACTATTTTTTAAGAACGTTGCCCACACAGAATACGTAGATTCAAAATACCTCGTTGTACACTCGTATGGTTAGTTTTACACTCCACAATGCTCAAAACATAAAAACTGGTAGAGATATTCCCAAGAAATACTTCACAAATGTGCCAAGCGTTCTTGAAAATGAGAACTTCAACGCAGATACTTGTGTCGCTTCTAAAAACACAAGTGGAGATAGTTTTTGAAGGAATTTTATATATTTTTGTGTTATGCATTTTAAACATTCACATGTTGAGGAGGCAGGGTAGAATATATTAGTTAGCACCTCTACTCTACTTGTGGGTGGGTGTTTTTTTTTTTAAGGGACAAGCCCGCCACATCCTCCCAAAACCGCTGCAACTCCTGTAAGCCAGGATCTACAGTAGATACAACCATGAAAACACCGGAACATTGAAGTCCGGCGCGTCCCAGGGACATGAGTAACTGTCTTGGTTCCCGCAACGAAGTGAATCAGAAGATATTATAAGAGGAGAAGAAGAAAGAAGTGGGTGGGTGTTATAAAATACAAACAACATATCATAGCATCACGCCTTTTATCCCCGAAGGGGTTTTTTTTTTTTTTTTTTTTAGGGGGGAAAGTCATCGAATGACTGCTCCCGCCTGGGTGAGGCGGAAGGGAGTGTCAGACTCTTACTGACTAAAAACCACCCCGTTCCTTCTCCTGCACGTCGAGCCGGAGCCCCGGTTACCCGTTAGGTTCTCCGCGACATCCCCGAAGGGGTACGGTGTACATTATGCCACTGTACAATGTAACACCCACTTTTCACTATTTATGTTATGGGTCCCATGTAATAGGGGGTGAGCCTATTGCCATATACCGGGCACAATTCCAGACTTTGTGCTATAGCTGAGATTTACACGTGGTTCTCATAATTGGCTTAATGAATCAAATATCTGTTTTCGTTAATTGTTATCATGTGGTTTTGTAAGCTGTAAAGAACCTATCAATAAATAAATAAAAGAGAGAGAGAAGGGAGGCAGTATGATATAAATGGTATTATTTTTTCCCGTCACCACATAGTTTCTTTTATTCTTCGACTAATACAATTTCATCTTCCAAAGAATGCAATAAAAATTCAGCAGCCGTTGGAATTCGTTTTATTACAATTCCTTAAACCTAAGTTAAATTGATAAAGTAACAATGTGCAACAAGTTTCTCGTTTCAGTTAAAGATAAAATAAAAGAAACAAATTCTATTTCACTTGTCAGTTATTTGTGAGAATGCAAAGAGAAAATGAACTTAAACTTTTTCCTACAAAGATACCGTTAAAGACATCTTTTGTTTTGTTTACTGTAACTAATTTGTGAATTTGTAAAATAGTTAGATGTGATTTACGGTATAGATAGTAGTCCTGTAGTTTTCTCTAAAACCGTATCGTGACCTAACTCTTCCCGCGGGTATCCAACCAAAATACCGACTCAGGGTCTAGACATCACACACAGGTTAGACACTGTTTGAGATTTAAGGGCTGCCCAGTGCAACCATTTTTACCAGTTGGTGTGAATTTCATTGTCAAAAATTAGTATACATTCTAAACTCAGTGCCACATCCAAATGTAAAATGATGGTTACTCTGACATATTATTATCAATATTTCATCAATGTCTAATATTGAATAAGGTTTCCACATTCAAATGATGTCGGTTAGTTCGCAATCATTATGAGTGACTTCTATATTTGCACGCCATTTTATACGGCAAACATGTCTCGAAATTTTAACTGCTACCCGCCATCAAACATGCTATTGTTTATTGTATATACACATGTGTTTGAGCAAATAAATATGATTTGATTTGATTTTTTTATTAAACCTAATGTTGACCTTATGTCGAAACGGGACGTATTGAAAACTTTGTTTTCAACAACAACATTAATACCAACAACATAGCAGACAGCAATCAAGTCAGTACTAATAACACATCAGAGTAAAAATGAATTAAACAAAAAACAAATAATACAATTTCAACTTTATACAAAAGCCATTAAAGTTCAAACGTGAATGTTATAAATTATTCAGAGACACAATCCTCGATAATTATGTTCATTTGTCTGATAATTACGGAGCCGAAAAGTTTATATTATTATATATGTACATTGAAATTGCCCTTTTTGATATTAATGTTATTTATTATGGACGTTACCGGGGTACTTTAGTAGGTACTTGAAAGTAAGAGATGCAAAGAATATTTATGATGGAAATTTTCGCAAGTTTATTATCATAATTGATGGCTTGAAATGATTTGAATGGTTAATGATAATGAAATTTTCGTTGTAAACTTGTGGGAGCTTATTTATATTCTTTGCGATTTGGGTCGTTAATTAGGTATAAATAAAGTATGAGTTACCACTCATAGTTTATATTACCAGACAGGATAGAAAATACAATTAGCTAGTTTCCTTAATCAAAAATATATTATTTCGATTGTTTAATATAAAAATAATTACACTTTTATTGATTGATTACATGACCAACTTAATTTTAATATTTTTTCCAGCATTTTTTTTAGATACTTTAGTATGGTGTTTGACGCTAAAAGACGTGACGTCACAATACGCAATCTCGTACAAAAGTCGTAGAAAACTGTCGTTTTTGACAGTTTGGAAAAAGTATTGGTTTGGCTTATTGGCAAAATATCCAATTATTAATATCTGATGACATTTTGGCATCATTAACGCTTAGATAGCAGTTTCAGTTTAATTTTATACGAAGAGAGAGAGATAAAAAAAAACACGTTTTATGTTTTTTTTTGTATAACATAAGCCGGTAAACGAGCAGACGGATCACCTGATGGTGAGCAATCGGCGCCGCCCATGGACACTCGAAACACCAAGGCGTTACAAGTGCGTTACCGGCCTTTTGGGAATTGGGAATTTGATGATTATGGAGAATTCGGGGATTCGGGAGACGGGGACTAGGGAGGGCGGTAATTGGGCCTCCGGTAACCTCACTCACACGACGAAACACATCGAATGCGTTACTTCACGTCGGTTTTCTGTGAGGCCGTGGTATGACTCCGGTCGAGCCGGCCCATTCGTGCCGAAGAATGTCTCTCCCACATTTAAACACAATTGTGATAATATTAAATAATTTTATTAGATTATATTTTGCTTTATATGTTGCCGTGCCCTAACCGGATTTCATGTTGAAACTGTACCCAATTATGTACAATAGTACACATGATATAATGCAATAAAAAATTGAATTTGAGATAACAGATAATAAAGGAATATCTGTGAAATATTGACAGCGAAAAGAAATCGTCATTTAAAAAAGTCCACCACAAGTAAATCAAGGCAAATTTTTTAAGCAACATTATTTTAAAGCCAGCGGTAAAAGTGACAATAAACCTGGTTGAG